AAACAAACTCTTTCCGTAAGGAACAAGAAATTGATCTAAAGTTGATTGTTTTACTCTTTTAATCAAAATTTTTCTCAAATGCGATAGCGCATTGTCATTCATATTGCGTTGTCGTTTTCTATTGCCACTATGACTTTTTTCTTTCTTGGATGCCATATTGATTAAATATATAAATCACAAAACTGAAAAAAGAAGTATAGCACAAACACTCGGAAAAGCAATGCTTAACTCACGCATGCCTAACACCAACTGAAATTTGACACAAAATACCGTTACGTTCGTTATCCGAATTTTGTTCGTTATCCGAGACAAAATTTTTGTAAAATAAAAGTTCGTTAACCGATTTGGTTGTTAACCAGGACGTTCGTTAACCGGGGTTCCACTGTAATATGAAGGCTTAAAGATATAAATCAGTAGTTCTCAACACATGTTTTGCAGAACACAAGTGTTCTGTAAACTTGCCCCAAGTTTTCCACAAAAATTTTTTTTTTAAATTTTATTACAAATTTATTCATAGATGATTCCATTTTATTATTTTATTTAATATAATAAAGTTTTAGTTTATTGTTTCATTCTTTCATGAGAATAGTAAGCATGGAATTGCTTATCAATTTTTGAATATATTGATAATGCTCTACATAATAAAAAATATATGATTGGTGTTCTCTGGCTTCAGAAAGATTGAAAAACCACTGATATAAACTATTAGATATATTTATTTTAAATAATCTTAGATAATTCTCTCAGAAACAGTGAATTAATCAAGAAAGAAAAAAGCACTATTATTCCTTTCAAGTCACTAAAAAAAGTTTTAAATCTAAAATATAATTTTTGTATGAATATTTTATTTATTTCTATTTAAATTGGTTAATAGAAACAAAAGTGTTTTAAACACATTCTTGTGATTTAATATTTTCAGTTCTAAATGTTAATTTTTATCACGTTTCATTAAAACATTTAAAAACCTAAAGAAGTTTATACAATTGTAAAATTTCTTTTAAGTAAAAGATTCTATATTTATTTTTATTTATTTCCAAGTTATTTTGCAATTTATTTTTTATTTAAATTTCATATTGATAAATCATAATACTTTTTATTTATTTAGAAGAGCTTGCAGTTAGGAAGAGAATATACTAATATAATGTATACTTATGAAGTTGCTGGCTTAGCAGATTTAGTAAAAACCCCTCGATCTGCTTCTTCTCTTAGCATCACTTCTTCAGCTGCACAATTACTTCAGAATGCTGACAATCAAAAACCTCCTCTTCCACCAAAAACTATTAATGAATCACTAACTAGGTAAAAAGAAATTTATCTCTTCAATAATGTATCTTGTGGAAAACTAATTAATATCTTATTTAATTATAAATTTTTAGCATTACATCTCCCAAAGATTCTCTATGGGAAAAATATGAAAATTTGGTTGTGAACGAAAAATCATCCAATAACCCATCACAACTTTCACATAAATCATGACAACCACTGATATGCAGGTAAAATCATAAATTGAAACTTATTTAAATGGAATTTTTAATAGTGCTTTCTGTTTTTGTGTATATTTAATATAGGCTAGAACATTTGTGCTCTGCTAAATAGTTATTATACAACTAGCAAGACTGTCATCTAAGATGTAGATGTTTATTGCTTACATATTGTGGAAGCTTCTTATAAATCTACTAATAATGATTGGACAGTCAGTTTGGTCAGTTCTGTACAGAAAATATACTTTTATGCATCTTGTATACATACATATATAAATACATACATACATACATACATAAATATATATATATATAAGAGCTCCATTTGTTAGTTTTGGTTTTTAATAAGTTTAGAATCTATTTTGTAAATTGAGTATAATTTTTTAAATACTGTATTATAACAAAATAAAATTTGTTTTAAAAAATAGATATAATTTAAAAACATTTGTAAATTGAGAGGGATAAATTATGAGGATGAAAGAGAAGGATGATCATATTTGATTTCTTGTATTTGCAATTATTTTTAACTGTTGTGATTTTTTCTTTAAATTGTTAAACTGTTTCTTGATCTTGTTAAAATAATATTGAATTAATAAACTGGTTAATAAATTATTAATTTGAATGTATTAAAAAAAACTATTTTAACAAAATTATCTGGACCATTTCTCAATAACTATCAAATAAAATTGTCCAGAATAAAAAATATTGTGATAATTTTACTCATAAAAATATATTAAAAGAAACAATGTTGTATTTGTTTATTCCTGCATTTCAAATTGGGAACAGTTTTTTTTTTTATGTATGTATTTAATATTTGATTTTTGATAAATATGAAAAAAATGGACTATAATTTGCCCAAGAAAAAAATGTAAAATAAATTAATAATATTCAATATTATTTGAATATTATATGTAAAAATTTCAAGAAACAAGCTGTGAAATTTTAAAAATTTTCAAAAGTTAATTGTGTGTGTTTATTTTTGCTATCTGAAAGCAATTCTTGTAGTAACTATTATATATTGACTGTTTGATAGATAAGTATTTTTTATTAATTTCATATTATAAATCAATTTACGAACTATGTATAACAAAGCCATCAAAAAAGATATCAGAAGTTTTAGTTTAAAATACTGATTATACCTGTGATATGATGCTGAGCATATATATATGCTAGCTTTTTATATTTTTAAAATTATTTTTTAGAAATCAGAATATAAATCAGTTATATTGAATTATAATAAATATTAGTTTTACAATTTTGAAACAGAGTTTGCATTTTATGATTATTTTGATATTGAGAGTTATTATTTATTCATTTTATTCTCAAAAATGGGTGTTTGAATTGTTTGGTCAAATGTTGATGGTGTATCATAACAATAAGAAAGTATTTAGTTGTTTGGATATTGTTATAAAGTTAAATCTGGGTGGTTATAGAAAGTGTGTTTATTCCTGCATTGCAAAGAATAATTTTTGAAAAATGCCAAATTTACAAAAGTTATTATTTAAATTAAATCTGGCCAATGGAAACAAAATTGTTTTATTTAGAAGTTAATGTTAGAATGCATACTCTGTATATTATTATTTATGCTAATCCTAAAATTATTTTCTTATAGATTACAATCAAAAATAGGATTGTATTATGTATCTAACAAACTGAGATATATTATTTGATACTAAAAATATAAGCATAGATATATACTTACAAGCATTACATATATATACATCTTAGATATTATGATTTAATAGTACAATTGTAAATATTTTTTAAAGTTAGAATTTAATAATGTTTCTTTTCTATTAGGAAAATTTATATTTGTTGTCAAAATGTGTTATATGTGTTGTTTATCAGAGATGTGATAGTTTCCTTCAAAATATTTTAATTAATTATTATGAATTTCTTTTTTGTAATTACTGTAGATGAAAATTGATGAATTTTGTTGTTTATTCTGTAAAATTTGAAGCTCTTAAAATGTAGCTTTATTATTGTTGTTATAAACTTTTATCAAAATTTGTGTGTAATTAATAATACTTAAGTGTACTGAAATATTAAATTAACATTTATAGTCAGAATCAAGGACAATATATCATTATCATTTTACTGCTTGGCCCGATCATGGAGTTCCTTCTGATCCTGGTTGTGTTTTAAATTTTCTTCATGATGTTAACTGTCGACAAGATTCAATTCCTAATGCTGGACCAATTATTGTACATTGCAGGTTATTTTACTTTTTGTTTTTAGTAACTTAAATAAATAAATGACAGGCTTGACTATATTTATTTCAATACTTTTTCCAATTACACAGTGCTGGTATTGGAAGAACTGGAACTTTTATTGTGATAGATATGATGGTTGATAGGATAAAAAAACAAGGTAAAATATACTTTTTTTTTTTATCAAGATCTATCTTAAAAGTTACTTTAAAAAGTAATATTAATTTAAAACTTACATTGATTGAATGTTTTTATTTAATTATATTTTTATCTTTTAAAATTTTTTCAAATTAATATCAATTAAGTAATCAAGCATCTTTATTTGTAATAGGTTGTTTCCTGTTACAATAGGGTGTCACAATTAGTAAAAAACAACAGTTTTAATGTAAATTATCACATTATTTCCTGTACAATTTTCTTCTAACACAACATTAATATATATTTTTAGTATTATTAACTTAATTAAGTTTACATGTAATATTACACAGTTACAATAAATTTTGAGCATAACTATATAAATTATATATAGTTACAATTTTTGCTGTATGAAAAAAGGAATACATAATTTTTTCATTGATGACTTTGTTCAATGCATGGAGGTTTTGTGTGTCTCACAACTCTTTGGCCTCTTTACATATACAAAACATATGGATTTTGGAACATATATCTCTGCATCTAAAGCAGTAGCAGTTTGATAAATCATAAATATTGTTATTATCTCTTTATTTAATCTTAATTGAATGAAGAAGTTTTTTATGTTAAAGGCTCAGTTTTTGAACCGAGCCTTTAACATAAAAAACTTGATTGTATGGATATTCTAAGATTATATTGTACCATTTAGGGTTTTTTCAGTTATTAATATCTTGAGACAGAGAAATTTCAAAGACATTTTGTATCAATTGTACACTGAGTAGTTTGCTCATGTCAGTTTTCTCCATAAAGAAACTTATTCAAAATCCATAACTGTTGAATATATTTGATATTTGACCTACCCAGTTTTTTCTTTGAGCATCAGTACACATTTTTTGGTATAATAATCTTAGTACAGTCGACCCCCTGTAACACGGGTTCATATAGTTTGGATTCCTATATGACGGTGAAAAAATTGCAACAGTATTCGTACAAACACGCTAAAAAAACTTGTATAATTCGGTAAAACGTCATCGCTGACTCGTGTTGCGACAGGATTGGTCGAATCTAGACCAATAACGGATATTGTACAAACTGTTGAGTTTAAACGAGCAGCAGACCTACTAAAAACCATTTATTATTTAATGCCCATAAAAATTATATTTATATTAATGATGTCTCCAAAGTTCAGCAAAGTTTTCGCAAAAAAAATAATTTATCAGGAAGCACGCGAGCATCATTCGATGACAAGCTCCACGACGAAAACAAGCTTAAGTAATGGCGTTGTCGAATGGTGCATGCTCGGCAAGTAATTTTACAATTTTTTGTTTATAGCATAGTTTATATGGATTATTCCCAAAAAATTACACATATTTTGGAAATGTTGAGTCAAATTAGTCTAGAATTGATTAATTTTATGGAAGAAAACCTTTCAAACAGCCGTAGTCCGTAAACTGCACACGTGCAGGGCTGTGATTGGCTCTAGTATTTAAGGACTCATAGAACATTAATTTCATAAAGAACTGAACGTATCTACCATATCTAACATATCTACCATATTATAGGAGGGTTGACTGTAGTTTAGCTGGTAATATTTCACAATCTTAGAAAAAAATTTAATAAGTCTTTTTATAAAAAATGATCACAGTTTGAATCTGTTTAATTCTAATCTAAGAGCACTTTCAGGAGTATTATGTTCTAACGAGAAAATTTTGCAAATAAATTTCTTTTGAATTATTTCTAGCTTCTGATAATAAGTTAGGTTCCAGATCGGTGAAGCATATCCTATAGAATTCATAATAATGGAGTTGAATAGTATAAAATTAACTATTATATTCTTCAATTTAACCTGACTAACTAGTTTCACCTTATTATTAATCAGTATGTTGATTTTGATTATTCTTCTTTTGTATTGTTTTTCAAACAACAATGTAGGAGTTAAAATAATTCTCAGAAATTTGATGTCGTGAACTATTTTAAATTCTTTGTTATTGAGATAAAAAGACGTTTCTTAGAAAGTCTGGTTCCGTTTCAAAAGATCATTACAGATGATTTATTAGGGTTGATTTTTAATTTTAGTTCTTCACAATACTCATTCAAAGCATGCATCTTTCTACATAAAGCAGCAGCTGTTGGAGCAATAATCACTATGTCGTCTGCATAGGATATTGAATGTATTACTTGCTTCTTGAATAAAAACCATTGTCTTCTCTGTTAAAACAGTCATTAAAATCAATCATATAGAAATTAAACAGATGTGATGACCAGAGATCACCTTGTAATAGGCCATGGTCAATAGTGAAAGCCAGCCATTGAAAATTATCATGCTTGATCATCACTTCATAGTGGCCAAATAATAATCTTATTATTTTTATAAGATCATCTTCTGCCTGATATATAGCCATTTCTTTTGTAAATTTGACATAATCAATGAATCATAAGCTTTTTTGATATCTAAAAATAAAGCAAACACCTTATGCTTTTGGGACAGGAAAGGGACTTTGTTAGTGGATTTTATGCCAAGAGGCACAACAATCAATTCTGATGCTTATTGTGACCTTCAGAAAACTCTGCCGTGCCATACAAGACAAGCAGCATGGCCTGATGTCTTCTGGCGGCAGATTTCTTTGAAGTCAGAATTTAAAAAATTTTTGAGCGGTATGACAAATGTTTGAACAGAAATGGAAATTATGTAGAAAAGTAGATAAAAGTATGTAGAATATGGGAAAAAATATATTTTAATGATATTTACAGTATTTTTCTTCCTATTAAAAAACGGACCTTATTTAAAAAATAGCCCTCGTATTAATATATCAGATTTTATACTTAAGATACTAACAAGTTTGATTTAAATCTTTTGCAGGATTAGATTGTGAATTAGATATCCAAAGAACAATACAAATGGTGCGCTGTCAAAGGTCAGGAATGGTTCAGACTGAAGCTCAGTATAAATTTGTGTATTTAGCAGTACTACATTATATTGACACTGTTTTACAAATAATGCAGGCAGAACAGGTAAATTAAAGAGTTTTGGAATGTTTTATAATCTTAAAGAATATTAATATGAATATGAATTAATTAATTATATTAATATGAATTAATATATTTAATTATATTTAATATGAAGTAATTAATTATATTAAAATCAGGAAAATAAATAAAATAATAAGAAAATGGTAGGTAAATAAAATTTTACATTTTTTAAAATAAATTTCTAGCAAAAGGATAAAATTTTTGTTCTTAGAGAAAGTGGACAAAAAATATTATTATGCTAACTTCCTACTATTAAACTTCAGCTCCATCTTATTTCTAAAGGAAATAAGACAATAACACAAAATAAATGTCTTCTAAGTATTAACACGGTATTGAATAATAAACATCCTCAAACAAAACCTTTTTTTATCAGTGTTGTATTCAGGGGTTTTGTGTTGAATACAACACTGATAAAAAAAAAGTTTTGTTTGTGGATGAAATAAGACAATGCTATATTGTTTTATATCCTTTGACAATTCTGTTATGTACTAAATTTTATGGATTTGTTTATTTTTCTTTTAGTGTTTGAGTAACAAAATGCCTTTATTTATAGTGATATTTTATTCTTGAAGTCCTTTTACTGAAATAGAGTCTTTATTACCTAAAATTTCATATATATAATTTTTACAACTATTTAATATTTATTTTCATTTGTAGTTTTTGTAATAATAGTGATTAAATTATCCATGTACAGGTAACCCCCGTATAACACAGCACTTCTATAGCATGGATTCACTCTAACATGGTTCAAGAATTGGGAACATCCCCCGTATAACACAGTGGTTTTATAGCACGGGTTCACTCTAACACGGTTCGGGAATTGGGTAAAACCCTTGTACAACATGAAATGTAATAAAGGATGCATTCTTTTATACTTCCACATAACTCTGTGCAAGCATTCTAATTGTTTTCATGGCTACTTTGAATGCTTTTTTAACAATAATCCATTTAATGGTTAAATTTTACAATTGGGACCCTTCTTTTGCCTCTAAAAGCTCATTTTAGAATTATAGATTGCTCCATCATGATACTATCAATAGTGCAGGCACCGCCATCTTTCTTTCACTGTCGTTCCTAAATTCCTACAAACAGCAGCGCACTCCCATTGCAGAGCGACTGCTATTAACGAACGCACTCAAAAACTGTTACTAGTTGATGATGCTCATGCTGAGATCATCATATAGGATGAATAATTCTCTGGTAAAATATTTACTTAAATAATAAATAAGTATTTTACCAATAAAAAAAATAATAATAAATCCGATTTAAATAAGGATTTAANTTCTTGGGTTTTTTAACACCCTGGTCACAAAATGCATAGAAAAATAAATAAATTTGACAAGACTTGCATTGATATGAACTTTCTGATTTTATGCTTGAAAATTAAAAAAACTTAATTTTTTAATTTTGGATTTTTTTAGCCTGACAATGATAGCAGTTTGGATTCTGAAAGAAAATACTATGTTGCCACTCAGGGAACATTGACTAACACTCTAGGAGATTTTTGGTGGATGGTTTGGCAATTAAATAGTAGAGTAATTGTTATGACAACCAGAGAGGTTGAAAGAGGAAAGGTTAGTTAAATGCTTTGATAACAAATAGCATTGAGTTGCAGATAATTTTCATTTTTTTAAAAATACCTATTAATAATAATTAAAAAATAAAAAGAGGAATAATTTCACATTGTGATAAAAAGAGATTCTTTAATTAAAAATAATTTTGCTTTTTGGCAAATAAATCTTCTTCAATTAAACTTTGAAAATACATAACAAATTTGAACGATGATTTAAATTAAAATAAACAAATTTTATATTATTTAACTTTTTGTACAAGGGAAAAAAAAAAAGTTGCAGAGAATTATAATTGTGGTAGATAAGGAATGACTTAATTCCATACAGTTGCAAATTTTAATATGGAAATGTTGCATACATTGTTAATCTTAATATAAATGGCTTCTATCAGGAATAATATTTTATGCTTTCTTGGGCTTAATAATAACTTTATCTTTTTTCACTTGGCTCATAATTGTCTTAGGCTATGATGGCTATTGTCATTATTGTTATTCCATATTTTACATCATGTTGATGTTCTACATTGAAGAATATAAAAGTGATGTGAAATATAGAATACTTGCAAAGAAGTAAAAGTACTTTTAAATAAAGAATGTCTTTGTATTATGGATAATGTGAAATTATTTCTTTTGATTTATTTTCTACAAGATAAAGTAAGAAAATCAATAATAACAAGAGAATTGTAAAAATCAGTTACTGTGAACATTTTTTATAAAATGATTTAAAATTTAAACAAAAGAAAGGGATTGCAAATATACTTTTGCAATATATTTCATAATCAACCCAAACTAACAAAGGCAACTTTAAAAAGAGTAAAAATAAAATATTTCATTTTTAATAATTTGTTGAATTTTCTTGATTTCACACTAATTTCACTTTGGTTAGTTAAAGTCTCTTAGTTTTTGATACATAAGAATCATCAAAACTAGAGAGGAATAGGGGTCGGCAGGAGCAGCGCTTTGCATAGATGTTTGCGGCTCTTCAGACATAAACTCCAATTTCACCTCATCTCAAGCAGCCTTATAACATGAGTTTATGTGATAGAACCACCAAACAAACTTCGACTTGTATGGCATACTCTCTACCACTCTTTAGCCCAGGCATGGTCAACGTATGGCCTGCAGGCCAGATCTAATGAATTTATGTAGCCTGTGATTAATCTTTCAATATTACCTATTCAAGTATGAATAGTGTGATGAAAAATTCTGATGAAAAAAAAAAAAAAAAGGTCAACAACTCACTGTGTGTTTAGAGTTAACCCTCCATTACAAATCTCTGAAGTACAATGTAAAATGTTGATAAAGCACAATAATGTGAAAAATGTATCTGCAATCTTTATATACAGTTTAGTCTCTACGGGGTGACACCACAATAAGATCTTGCACCACCTCAAAATCTTCATAGGGCAGCCTCTGGTTTAGCCCATGAAAAAAGTTTTCTTTCCAATTCAGCCCAGGGGCAAAAACTGTTGGCCACCCCTGCTTTAGCCCATCCACACATGACCACACTTGCATTGATCAATATGAGTTGCATGCAAATGGTAGCATTTGAAGCATATCTATATATATAATTTATCCCATTGAATGCGTGTCCATCTGTGTAACGTTACGCCAAAAACAGCCAGTAGAGGTGCCCCTGTCATATATCATATTTCGCAAATTTAAATTAACATATATGCGGCTCTCTGGGACTTTTGTTATCCTATTTCCATGACAATTTGGCTTTTCTCACTTGACAAACTGCTGACCCCTGACTTAGATGATGGTCCTTTTTAGTCAAACATGTTTTAGCATCTTTCTGATCAGTATTACAAATACTATAAAGTATTTAATTTAATATTTTTATGCTGTATATTATCCATTTTACTCTTTTCCTGATAATTTGTTTGGTAAAACATTTTTATTGTTGTCTACTGTAAATTTTTAAAATCCAGTTTTATTTGCCATCTTGTTACTATAAACTACTGAACATTCTTTATCCATAACATAATTATTTGTGAACTAATTTTCACTATAAATAAATAAAATGTCCATGACTTCAATTATTTTGTCTGTTCATTGCTGTTGCCAAGTCACAAATTTAATTATAGTTTTGTTGGGCTACAAATTGTTGTATACAGTATATATAATGATGAATATAATGAGAACTATTGTTTATATTTTTATTTTAAAAAATTACACTATTTTTTCCATATTATGAATAACAAATGATTTATATTTTAGAATAAATGTGCAAAATACTGGCCAGATGTTGATGAAGTAAAGCAAGCTGGAAAAATTACAATAAAGGGCATTGTTGAATCACCTACTGTTGATTATACATTAAGAGAGTTTGAAGTAACTAAAGAAAATGAGGTAATATTTCATCTAACGGAAAATGATTTGTTTAAAAAAAATATATATAGTGATTTGTGATTTAAGTTTTTTATAATAAATTCAGCATCTAATCTAACACTTTATTATAAAATGTATTAAAATTTCTTGAAAAACTTTAAAACACAATTCAAATTTAAACGTTTAAATGAAAACATTTTAATCATTTTAAATGTTAATACAGTACAGCATTGATTATCTGACTCAATTGGGGACTGGGGTTGGTCAGATAACTGAAAAAACAGATAACCGAAAAATATGAAAAAATACATTATTAGTATAGTATATTAGTATATCTCATGTAATTAGTATATTAGTATATCGCTATTAATCTACTTTGCGTTGAATTTTCATCGATGTTAAGCCTAACAAAAAATTTTTTAAAATAATAATCATCGCTATTGTATCGTTAAAAATTAGAAAATTAAGCCTCATTTAAATAATGGCTCCCTTTCGTGGTTGAGCCATGTTGCCAGCTAAATCATGTAAAAATACTATAAAAGTAGCCAAGACATAGCCAAATATTATAGCGCCACATCACTAACGGACATTTGAATTTGCCGACTAGAACGATCGGTTAACCAATGTGACAGTTAATCGGGGATCGGATAATCGATGCTCTACTGTAATTATCATATTATAAGTTCTTGAAAAACAGTTTTTAAAATATTTTGAATTTGTTTATTTTATTAATTAATTTAAAAAATATTTTATCCGAAATCATTTTAAGTTTTTAATTTGATTGATTAAAAAAACAAAAACTGAATATTGTAAAATTTATATTATTATAATTTTGGGCACTTTGTTTGTTTTAAAGTAAAATATTATTATATCACACTCTACAAAAATTCCTTCTTGTAATGTAAACCAAAAATTATCTTTTTCAAATTTTCTTAGTTAATATGCATACAAGTTGGAAGTGTCAGTATAGGAGCTTTTTCAGTTCTTATATTTGCATTGTTTAAAAGTATGGCAATAAGAGAGAGTTTTTCTTAAAAATTTTCTGACAATGATTGCAATATCTGTGCATAGCTTGTATGTCCATTACAATAGTCATTTATTTCTCATGTGTAATGATCATAAGTTCAGCAGATTTTGTCTCTGGAAAGAAAAAAAATTGAAAATTTGAATATGGATGATGGAAATAAAATATGGTAAGAAGTTAATTAGTAGTGAGAAGTTAATTATCAACAAAAAGAGAAAAGAGAAAGAAGTGAAAATTAATGATGCAACTTATATGATTAAGCATTTTGAGTCTGTCCAAAAGCATATGTGAACAGCAAAAAAACAGAAGTTAAAGATTAAGTGTTTATATAGTTTTTTGGCTAATGTCAGTTATACAGTAAGTTTTGGTAAAGCCTATATATATAATTTTTATTATATTTTTTATGGAAATAGTGATGCAATTTATAATGTTCATGAATTCTACCACTCTTTAGCCCAGGCATGGTCAACGTATGGCCTGCAGGCCAGATCTAATGAATTTATGTAGCCTGTGATTAATCTTTCAATATTACCTATTCAAGTATGAATAGTGTGATGAAAAATTCTGATGCAAAAAAAAAAAAAAAGGTCAACAACTCACTGTGTGTTTAGAGTTAATTCTCCATTACAAATCTCATAAGTACAGAGTAAGTAGAGTGTTGATAAAACATGATAATGTGAAAAATGTATCTGTAATCTCTATCTACAATTCAGTCTNGTATTAAGAATATCGTGAGAATCATGATTTTATTAATTAATTATCATGGGAAATATATTTAGTTTTCTTGAATTGTTTACCAAAAAGGAAGACACATTCAACACTTTTTACAAAAGAAGGAATCAACTTCTTTTCCCACAGGATTTATCGGTAATTCTGACCACCATCTGTATTTTTACCCCTTCTACATGTCATCATGCATCATGTTGTAATCGTGGATCATTTTATGCCATTGGTCAGAGAGCCTGATAAAAGGATAGTTTACCTGCCATTCGAGGCAGTCCATAAGAAATTGGGAAAGTGCCATACAAGACACATCTCCTCGTCCATAAGATCTCTTCGACATATTTTAACTTGTGCACATACAGAAAAAAGGAAGATTGTCCCAAAGAGTTTATCCTCCATCTCCCGTACTCCTCCAAAGACTACTGACCGACTTACATCATAAGGTAGTATGATTTATATCATACTTGTAAACTCTCTCTCTCGCGAGGAATAGATAGTTTTGTTATTCTTGTGATTAGGTTAAAGAAATGTTATTCTCTCCATACATCTGTATTTACTTTGTTAACCTTATTAAATCTTGTTTGTTAATTAATATGGTCTCGTCTTTGAACTCAGCTCTATATCAAGCTTATCACTTACCCGCATATCCTCCCCACTCATGAAATAAGCCCTCCTACTTTAATTTATTCACTATCTCATATCATGAGTTAAAACTGGTGTCAGGAATCCTGAGTATAGATCGGGATTTTACGATCTCTGATCTAAAACATCTTTTTAAAACCATTCTACGACTCTGCGGGCAGATCTTCCAGATCCGTAGCCGATTAAGTGGTAGAGACTACATTTATCTACCCAGTTCTTCACAATATTAATTAAAATACAATAAGTTTTAATTCAAAATGTAATTCATTTGATTTACAACAGAATAAAACTGAAATTTAATAGATGAAAAATTGTATTGTACTGATTTTAAAATTCAAAGAGAAACCAAAAACTAGCAGGATATATACAAGCAAGGAAAGAAGAGGAGGGCATTAATAACACACACACTTCAATATTAAATGCTGGAAAAACTTATGTGGTTAATCAGATGGCTGCATGTTATTTGCATTTACTCTGTTGAGCAAGGTGTTGTTATTTTTACTGTTTATTTTTTATTTATTTGATATATTTTTTTTGTTTAAATTACTCAGAATACTTTTAAATTTTGAATAATTAAGTCATGTTTCTAGAGTTTGTTCATTTTTTTTTAATTTTGTGAAATATGTAACTTAATGTTGACTACTAAGTATGATCAAAATTTAGTTAATTAGTTATCAACTGAATTGCTGGAAATTGAGTATTTTACTTTGTTTTCATTTTATTAGAGTCAGTACCATCAAGTACAGTTGACCCCCCCATAACACGGGTTCCTATAGTTTGGATTCCTATATGACGGTGAAAAAATTGCAACAGTATTCGTACAAACACGCTAAAAAAACTTGTATAATTCGGTAAAACGTCATCGCTGACTCGTGTTGCGACAGGATTGGTCGAATCTAGACCAATAACGGATATTGTACAAACTGTTGAGTTTAAACGAGCAGCAGACCTACTAAAAACCATTTATTATTTAATGCCCATAAAAATTATATTTATATTAATGATGTCTCCAAAGTTCAGCAAAGTTTTCGCAAAAAAAATAATTTATCAGGAAGCACGCGAGCATCATTTGATGACAAGCTCCACGACGAAAACAAGCTTAAGTAATGGCGTTGTCGAATGGTGCATGCTCGGCAAGTAATTTTACAATTTTTTGTTTATAGCATAGTTTATATGGATTATTCCCAAAAAATTATATGTATTTTGGAAATGTTGAGTCAAATTAGTCTAGAATTGATTAATTTTATGGAAGAAAACCTTTCAAACAGCCGTAGTCCGTAAACTGCACACGTGCAGGGCTGTGATTGGCTCTAGTATTTAAGGACTCATAGAACATTAATTTCATAAAGAACTGAACGTATCTACCATATCTAACATATCTACCATATTATAGGAGGGTTGACTGTAGTTTAGCTGGTAATATTTCACAATCTTAGAAAAAAATTTAATAAGTCTTTTTATAAAAAATGATCACAGTTTGAATCTGTTTAATTCTAATCTAAGAGCACTTTCAGGAGTATTATGTTCTAACGAGAAAATTTTGCAAATAAATTTCTTTTGAATTATTTCTAGCTTCTGATAATAAGTTAGGTTCCAGATCGGTGAAGCATATCCTATAGAATTCATAATAATGGAGTTGAATAGTATAAAATTAACTATTATATTCTTCAATTTAACCTGACTAACTAGTTTCACCTTATTATTAATCAGTATGTTGATTTTGATTATTCTTCTTTTGTATTGTTTTTCAAACAACAATGTAGGAGTTAAAATAATTCTCAGAAATTTGATGTCGTGAACTATTTTAAATTCTTTGTTATTGAGATAAAAAGACGTTTCTTAGAAAGTCTGGTTCCGTTTCAAAAGATCATTACAGATGATTTATTAGGGTTGATTTTTAATTTTAGTTCTTCACAATACTCATTCAAAGCATGCATCTTTCTACATAAAGCAGCAGCTGTTGGAGCAATAATCACTATGTCGTCTGCATAGGATATTGAATGTATTACTTGCTTCTTGAATAAAAACCATTGTCTTCTCTGTTAAAACAGTCATTAAAATCAATCATATAGAAATTAAACAGATGTGATGACCAGAGATCACCTTGTAATAGGCCATGGTCAATAGTGAAAGCCAGCCATTGAAAATTATCATGCTTGATCATCACTTCATAGTGGCCAAATAATAATCTTATTATTTTTATAAGATCATCTTCTGCCTGATATATAGCCATTTCTTTTGTAAATTTGACATAATCAATGAATCATAAGCTTTTTTGATATCTAAAAATAAAGCAAACACCTTATGCTTTTGGGACAGGAAAGGGACTTTGTTAGTGGATTTTATGCCAAGAGGCACAACAATCAATTCTGATGCTTATTGTGACCTTCAGAAAACTCTGCCGTGCCATACAAGACAAGCAGCATGGCCTGATGTCTTCTGGCGGCAGATTTCTTTGAAGTCAGAATTTAAAAAATTTTTGAGCGGTATGACAAATGTTTGAACAGAAATGGAAATTATGTAGAAAAGTAGATAAAAGTATGTAGAATATGGGAAAAAATATATTTTAATGATATTTACAGTATTTTTCTTCCTATTAAAAAACGGACCTTATTTAAAAAATAGCCCTCGTATTAATATATCAGATTTTATACTTAAGATACTAACAAGTTTGATTTAAATCTTTTGCAGGATTAGATTGTGAATTAGATATCCAAAGAACAATACAAATGGTGCGCTGTCAAAGGTCAGGAATGGTTCAGACTGAAGCTCAGTATAAATTTGTGTATTTAGCAGTACTACATTATATTGACACTGTTTTACAAATAATGCAGGCAGAACAGGTAAATTAAAGAGTTTTGGAATGTTTTATAATCTTAAAGAATATTAATATGAATATGAATTAATTAATTATATTAATATGAATTAATATATTTAATTATATTTAATATGAAGTAATTAATTATATTAAAATCAGGAAAATAAATAAAATAATAAGAAAATGGTAGGTAAATAAAATTTTACATTTTTTAAAATAAATTTCTAGCAAAAGGATAAAATTTTTGTTCTTAGAGAAAGTGGACAAAAAATATTATTATGCTAACTTCCTACTATTAAACTTCAGCTCCATCTTATTTCTAAAGGAAATAAGACAATAACACAAAATAAATGTCTTCTAAGTATTAACACGGTATTGAATAATAAACATCCTCAAACAAAACCTTTTTTTATCAGTGTTGTATTCAGGGGTTTTGTGTTGAATACAACACTGATAAAAAAAAAGTTTTGTTTGTGGATGAAATAAGACAATGCTATATTGTTTTATATCCTTTGACAATTCTGTTATGTACTAAATTTTATGGATTTGTTTATTTTTCTTTTAGTGTTTGAGTAACAAAATGCCTTTATTTATAGTGATATTTTATTCTTGAAGTCCTTTTACTGAAATAGAGTCTTTATTACCTAAAATTTCATATATATAATTTTTACAACTATTTAATATTTATTTTCATTTGTAGTTTTTGTAATAATAGTGATTAAATTATCCATGTACAGGTAACCCCCGTATAACACAGCACTTCTATAGCATGGATTCACTCTAACATGGTTCAAGAATTGGGAACATCCCCCGTATAACACAGTGGTTTTATAGCACGGGTTCACTCTAACACGGTTCGGGAATTGGGTAAAACCCTTGTACAACATGAAATGTAATAAAGGATGCATTCTTTTATACTTCCACATAACTCTGTGCAAGCATTCTAATTGTTTTCATGGCTACTTTGAATGCTTTTTTAACAATAATCCATTTAATGGTTAAATTTTACAATTGGGACCCTTCTTTTGCCTCTAAAAGCTCATTTTAGAATTATAGATTGCTCCATCATGATACTATCAATAGTGCAGGCACCGCCATCTTTCTTTCACTGTCGTTCCTAAATTCCTACAAACAGCAGCGCACTCCCATTGCAGAGCGACTGCTATTAACGAACGCACTCAAAAACTGTTACTAGTTGATGATGCTCATGCTGAGATCATCATATAGGATGAATAATTCTCTGGTAAAATATTTACTTAAATAATAAATAAGTATTTTACCAATAAAAAAAATAATAATAAATCCGATTTAAATAAGGATTTAATAGCATGTTTTTTTAATTTTTGAAACCTAACCCTCCTTTTCGCACTAGTTCTTTGTTTCGCATAACATGGCAATTTTTTGGAACTCCCGTGTTATACAGGGGTTACCTGTACATAAAAAGTTTTATTGATTTTTTTTTTTTTTAATTCAAATTGTTTAGAATATTTTTTAGTGCTACAAAAAAGTATTAAAATAAAATGCCAATCAAAAATATTTTGTTTACATGATGATTTGAAATATTACAAAAATATTTTTTAATGAATGTTTTTGTTAACTGCAAAATCCTTAGTAACATTTATTTCCATCAATAAGTGATGATAATATAAGTTGTTATTAAAAAATTAACTTGTTTATTTTAAGAATAAGCAGACAATTATTAAAAAATTGGCTATTTTTAAAATAAAATTGTACATACAATTTTATTTTAAAAAGCTTTATACAGTGGAACCCCGGTTAACGAACTTAATCCGTTCCGCGACTTCGTTCGTTAACTGAATTGTTCGTTAACCAAAGCAATTTTTCCCATAGAAATTAATGCAAATGTAATTAATCCGTTCTAGTCTCCGAAATTTTTGTGATTTTATTTGTAATATATAGCAGATTTTCTTTGATGAAAATGTAGGAAAACGTAGTATCATCATTACAGCAACAAACATGTAAACTTTGTTTAATAAAATAGCACTGTACATACCTTCGTTGTTGTAGTTGGTGGCAGAAAAGTGGATTTATACGAATCTTAATGCTTAGAAGGGAAATCCTCTCCAAAAAAATAACGGGTAGCACTTCATCGAAAAATTCTTTGAGTTGAAGTCTCTTTCGGTAAGAAAACCTACCAGTAGCTAAGCGGTCTTCGTACCCTGAACACGGGGAGTTCGTTCGTGAGCTCGCACCTTGCTCAGACGGGCTGGCCACGTGGAGTTTTCCGGGTTTTCTCCACGTCTGTAACGCCTAAATAGGGGCTAGTTTCCCTTAAAAACACCTCCTAGAAGGCATTCCCCTAGGCAGATCGCCCAAGTGTTGCGTTGTCATAATTTAACAAAACAAACAAACTCTTTCCGTAAGGAACAAGAAATTGATCTAAAGTTGATTGTTTTACTCTTTTAATCAAAATTTTTCTCAAATGCGATAGCGCATTGTCATTCATATTGCGTTGTCGTTTTCTATTGCCACTATGACTTTTTTCTTTCTTGGATGCCATATTGATTAAATATATAAATCACAAAACTGAAAAAAGAAGTATAGCACAAACACTCGGAAAAGCAATGCTTAACTCACGCATGCCTAACACCAACTGAAATTTGACACAAAATACCGTTACGTTCGTTATCCGAATTTTGTTCGTTATCCGAGACAAAATTTTTGTAAAATAAAAGTTCGTTAACCGATTTGGTTGTTAACCAGGACGTTCGTTAACCGGGGTTCCACTGTAATATGAAGGCTTAAAGATATAAATCAGTAGTTCTCAACACATGTTTTGCAGAACACAAGTGTTCTGTAAACTTGCCCCAAGTTTTCCACAAAAATTTTTTTTTTAAATTTTATTACAAATTTATTCATAGATGATTCCATTTTATTATTTTATTTAATATAATAAAGTTTTAGTTTATTGTTTCATTCTTTCATGAGAATAGTAAGCATGGAATTGCTTATCAATTTTTGAATATATTGATAATGCTCTACATAATAAAAAATATATGATTGGTGTTCTCTGGCTTCAGAAAGATTGAAAAACCACTGATATAAACTATTAGATATATTTATTTTAAATAATCTTAGATAATTCTCTCAGAAACAGTGAATTAATCAAGAAAGAAAAAAGCACTATTATTCCTTTCAAGTCACTAAAAAAAGTTTTAAATCTAAAATATAATTTTTGTATGAATATTTTATTTATTTCTATTTAAATTGGTTAATAGAAACAAAAGTGTTTTAAACACATTCTTGTGATTTAATATTTTCAGTTCTAAATGTTAATTTTTATCACGTTTCATTAAAACATTTAAAAACCTAAAGAAGTTTATACAATTGTAAAATTTCTTTTAAGTAAAAGATTCTATATTTATTTTTATTTATTTCCAAGTTATTTTGCAATTTATTTTTTATTTAAATTTCATATTGATAAATCATAATACTTTTTATTTATTTAGAAGAGCTTGCAGTTAGGAAGAGAATATACTAATATAATGTATACTTATGAAGTTGCTGGCTTAGCAGATTTAGTAAAAACCCCTCGATCTGCTTCTTCTCTTAGCATCACTTCTTCAGCTGCACAATTACTTCAGAATGCTGACAATCAAAAACCNATCAGAAGTTTTAGTTTAAAATACTGATTATACCTGTGATATGATGCTGAGCATATATATATGCTAGCTTTTTATATTTTTAAAATTATTTTTTAGAAATCAGAATATAAATCAGTTATATTGAATTATAATAAATATTAGTTTTACAATTTTGAAACAGAGTTTGCATTTTATGATTATTTTGATATTGAGAGTTATTATTTATTCATTTTATTCTCAAAAATGGGTGTTTGAATTGTTTGGTCAAATGTTGATGGTGTATCATAACAATAAGAAAGTATTTAGTTGTTTGGATATTGTTATAAAGTTAAATCTGGGTGGTTATAGAAAGTGTGTTTATTCCTGCATTGCAAAGAATAATTTTTGAAAAATGCCAAATTTACAAAAGTTATTATTTAAATTAAATCTGGCCAATGGAAACAAAATTGTTTTATTTAGAAGTTAATGTTAGAATGCATACTCTGTATATTATTATTTATGCTAATCCTAAAATTATTTTCTTATAGATTACAATCAAAAATAGGATTGTATTATGTATCTAACAAACTGAGATATATTATTTGATACTAAAAATATAAGCATAGATATATACTTACAAGCATTACATATATATACATCTTAGATATTATGATTTAATAGTACAATTGTAAATATTTTTTAAAGTTAGAATTTAATAATGTTTCTTTTCTATTAGGAAAATTTATATTTGTTGTCAAAATGTGTTATAAGTTTATACAATTGTAAAATTTCTTTTAAGTAAAAGATTCTATATTTATTTTTATTTATTTCCAAGTTATTTTGCAATTTATTTTTTATTTAAATTTCATATTGATAAATCATAATACTTTTTATTTATTTAGAAGAGCTTGCAGTTAGGAAGAGAATATACTAATATAATGTATACTTATGAAGTTGCTGGCTTAGCAGATTTAGTAAAAACCCCTCGATCTGCTTCTTCTCTTAGCATCACTTCTTCAGCTGCACAATTACTTCAGAATGCTGACAATCAAAAACCTCCTCTTCCACCAAAAACTATTAATGAATCACTAACTAGGTAAAAAGAAATTTATCTCTTCAATAATGTATCTTGTGGAAAACTAATTAATATCTTATTTAATTATAAATTTTTAGCATTACATCTCCCAAAGATTCTCTATGGGAAAAATATGAAAATTTGGTTGTGAACGAAAAATCATCCAATAACCCATCACAACTTTCACATAAATCATGACAACCACTGATATGCAGGTAAAATCATAAATTGAAACTTATTTAAATGGAATTTTTAATAGTGCTTTCTGTTTTTGTGTATATTTAATATAGGCTAGAACATTTGTGCTCTGCTAAATAGTTATTATACAACTAGCAAGACTGTCATCTAAGATGTAGATGTTTATTGCTTACATATTGTGGAAGCTTCTTATAAATCTACTAATAATGATTGGACAGTCAGTTTGGTCAGTTCTGTACAGAAAATATACTTTTATGCATCTTGTATACATACATATATAAATACATACATACATACATACATAAATATATATATATATAAGAGCTCCATTTGTTAGTTTTGGTTTTTAATAAGTTTAGAATCTATTTTGTAAATTGAGTATAATTTTTTAAATACTGTATTATAACAAAATAAAATTTGTTTTAAAAAATAGATATAATTTAAAAACATTTGTAAATTGAGAGGGATAAATTATGAGGATGAAAGAGAAGGATGATCATATTTGATTTCTTGTATTTGCAATTATTTTTAACTGTTGTGATTTTTTCTTTAAATTGTTAAACTGTTTCTTGATCTTGTTAAAATAATATTGAATTAATAAACTGGTTAATAAATTATTAATTTGAATGTATTAAAAAAAACTATTTTAACAAAATTATCTGGACCATTTCTCAATAACTATCAAATAAAATTGTCCAGAATAAAAAATATTGTGATAATTTTACTCATAAAAATATATTAAAAGAAACAATGTTGTATTTGTTTATTCCTGCATTTCAAATTGGGAACAGTTTTTTTTTTATGTATGTATTTAATATTTGATTTTTGATAAATATGAAAAAAATGGACTATAATTTGCCCAAGAAAAAAATGTAAAATAAATTAATAATATTCAATATTATTTGAATATTATATGTAAAAATTTCAAGAAACAAGCTGTGAAATTTTAAAAATTTTCAAAAGTTAATTGTGTGTGTTTATTTTTGCTATCTGAAAGCAATTCTTGTAGTAACTATTATATATTGACTGTTTGATAGATAAGTATTTTTTATTAATTTCATATTATAAATCAATTTACGAACTATGTATAACAAAGCCATCAAAAAAGATATCAGAAGTTTTAGTTTAAAATACTGATTATACCTGTGATATGATGCTGAGCATATATATATGCTAGCTTTTTATATTTTTAAAATTATTTTTTAGAAATCAGAATATAAATCAGTTATATTGAATTATAATAAATATTAGTTTTACAATTTTGAAACAGAGTTTGCATTTTATGATTATTTTGATATTGAGAGTTATTATTTATTCATTTTATTCTCAAAAATGGGTGTTTGAATTGTTTGGTCAAATGTTGATGGTGTATCATAACAATAAGAAAGTATTTAGTTGTTTGGATATTGTTATAAAGTTAAATCTGGGTGGTTATAGAAAGTGTGTTTATTCCTGCATTGCAAAGAATAATTTTTGAAAAATGCCAAATTTACAAAAGTTATTATTTAAATTAAATCTGGCCAATGGAAACAAAATTGTTTTATTTAGAAGTTAATGTTAGAATGCATACTCTGTATATTATTATTTATGCTAATCCTAAAATTATTTTCTTATAGATTACAATCAAAAATAGGATTGTATTATGTATCTAACAAACTGAGATATATTATTTGATACTAAAAATATAAGCATAGATATATACTTACAAGCATTACATATATATACATCTTAGATATTATGATTTAATAGTACAATTGTAAATATTTTTTAAAGTTAGAATTTAATAATGTTTCTTTTCTATTAGGAAAATTTATATTTGTTGTCAAAATGTGTTATATGTGTTGTTTATCAGAGATGTGATAGTTTCCTTCAAAATATTTTAAATTATAGCATTAACAATAAGATCACAATTTAATTATTAGGAAAGATCTGTTGATCCATGAAATAATTTTTTTTTGTAGTTTAAATAAACTGATTTGAAAAGTTAATAATAATTTTTGAATTGTTTAGATAATAAATTTATTTATAGTTTTTCTTCTGTATGAAATATTCAATTTAATTACACAGAAACTTGATGCACAAATAACATAACTTTATTTCATAAAAAGAGACTCATATTTCATAACTGGAAATATGCATATTAATAATTTACAATTTGATAGGCAAATAGAATTAATACTTTGATTCAAACTAAGTTTTTAGAATTCTATATGTTTTAATTTAAATTTTTATAAATTTTATATTTATGAAATTTATAAACATTTCAGGATTAAAAGAAATAAAAATATATTATTTATAATATAATGAAATGATGTGTAAAAATACTTTTGTTCTAAAACAAAATTGTTTTGAGAAATAAGTTATGTATAGAACTGGTTTTCATTATGAAAGGACTATGGCAGATAATATTTGCAAATTTTGTTGTTATATAATACAGAAAAAATAAGCAATTTCAATACAGCTTTTAAAATTAAATTGAATTAGTTTAAATTGATTTGTTTTTCTTCAATATAAAATAAAATAATAATCTGCAATTAACTTCAATTGAATTTTTGTTTCCTATATTTTTAATAAAATGACAAATGTTGTTAAATTTTTATGATGATTTGCCTTTGTTGTATTTTCCATTGAACAAATATACATGCTTAAATCAAAATTTTATGCAGCTTTATGCATTTACTTTAAAATTTATAAATCGTAAAAATATATTATTATTTATTAAAATGATATTTAGATAAACTTCAAAATTCTAGATTTTCAGTATCAAAAATAATAATAATGATTATGTTATATACTTCAGAGTTTTTATTCATATGTTGCAATGCTTTTTACTATTTAATTTATCCTATTATGAATGAATTTAAATTGCAAAAAGTTAGTTAAATAGAATAATTCTACATAGGTATGCTCTAATTAATAAATATTAGGTAAAATTGAAAATAATACCAAAATTGATTTATTGATTGGTCATTAGATAGATATGTATATCAAAAGAAATTGTATATGAATATCAAAATTATATATGTGCATATTTGTTTGCATTAAAATTTTTGGATTAATCAGATATCTGATTAAAGTTAACTTCAAAAATTTAAGTAAATGATTTATGATTTTAATTTAAAAATAAAGTTTTGTTTGAAACAAGTAGAAACTATTAAATAATAATTAGATCAATTATTAAATATTTAAGTTGAATTTTTGTTATTTAAAAAATTATTATTATTAAACACTATTTTTAAACTTGTATCTTCAATAAATTTCCTTATGAAAGATTTTAGGGGAAAATGTGTTGCAGATGACATAATAGATGTTTATATGTGTGCAGAAAAGGTAACAGTTAAATAAAAGTCATTTTTCAGTTGATCGTGTGTATTAATCATAATTTAAGTTTTTCAGCTTGTTTTAAAACATTAAAAAATTCTTACTTTATTGCATTGATAGACTGATACAGGTAATGTGACATACAACTATAATAAATGAATTAAATTTTGAATTATTTTGAGAAAACTTGGAGGGTAACTATAGTCTTTTTATTTTAGGTAATATCTCTGGAGTTTATATGAAGTCTGTCAGGCCTCAAAGGCATTCAAATAACTTCCAAGCTTTTCAATAAATTATATATTTATTCATCTATTTTAATGACAAATAAAGCTATATATATATATATTTTTTTTTTACTCAAAAGGTTCAGTATTCTATCAACAGAAATCTTTATATTGAAAATAATTATAAAATAACATATACAAAATAAATGTATAATTTCAATACACAAAAAATAGTCTAATTCCTTGTCATTCAATCAAATTATTATTTATTTATTTATTGTGACTATAAAATTAGCAAAACTGCATTCTTATATAAAAAGATTAAAATACTGTATATGTTTTAAATCATTAAAACAATGCAAAATAATTTTAATATATTTATAAAATAAAAAAATTGATTTTATTGGTCATGTTTTTCAACATGGGAATGGTGAGAGTGGAGTCACTCATTTCACATCACTACATTGCATTTACATGCACACGTGCTCATTAAATTGTACATTTGGTTGTTTATCAAATTTTGGAATTGGGAGGATAGTGGGTGGTGGGTACAATCCAAAATATCATTAGAATACATTATATTATTTAGAAGTGCATGATATTTGAGGACATGATACAAAACAAGTTAAATAAAAGCAATTAAAAATTTTAATTGCTTTTTAATTATAGATTAATAAGCTGTGATCAAAATATATTTTAATAAAAGTAATTTTTTAAAAATCTTAGGATCTCTACTTCTTAGTCATTTGAATGCCTGTAGACCTGGTGAAATTAATAATAATTCTTAGGAGATATTACTTAACATAAAACTATGGATTTATATTGCAAATAGTGAGATTATATATAAAATCTTAAAAAAATATTCAATGCCCAAAAAACACTGTTCAAATATGTCACAATTATGCATTTAATATGTAACTTAAAATATTACTAAGTTACATATGAAAAATATTTGTAGTATGATACAGAAGATATATTTTTTTAAAATTTGTTTTTGCTGGAAGTAAGTGTATACTTTCAGATTCACTTAATAAATTAGAATTTATTTTTTAATGCTATATTAACAATAGAAAAAAATTAATTTTTATGTATTCATATTTTGTATTTTCTATTAATATATTTGGAATGTTGTCAAATGATAATGATAGTAATAATAAAGAGTCTCTTTGTGAATTAGTTGTTGTTTATTAAACTGTTTGTTATTGATTCTAAGATTAGTTTCAAAATCTGAATGCAGTTATATATATTAATGACAATTTTCGAAAACTTTTGTTAACTTTATACTAATCATTTTATTCTGCATGATAAGATTTACAGACATCATATGATTGGAAGATATTAGTAAAAGTAACTAGTAACAATACAATAAGAGCTCCAGTGGCAGAACCAATTTGGCTTATGCCTCCACACCACATCATGGCAAAATGACTTCCTTCTTGACGTAAGATAGATGTGGAACATGCTTTAACATAAGAGAGTAAACTGACAAAGCATATCCAAGATAAAATCTAAACAAAATTGAAATTGTTAGAAAGAAATGTACATTAAAATTAAAAAATTTTTAAGAACATATACTGACTATTAAAATTACTCCAGCTGTTGTGTGTATTAGAGGTGGTGATGGGCTTGTCACTGCTGCTGTCATAATATAGACAGACCAACCTGTACCAATTACCATTTGCAAGCTGATGAGTGGCAGTGACTTTGTGGGAAAGAACATAGCCACAAAACATGCTAAAGGATTGGCAATGCTTGAGAGTGTCACTGATAAATGGTAAGCCACATTTCCATAAGGCAAGCATGAGTATGTCTGAAAAATTTCATATTTTGCATTTATTGAATTCTTATTTTTGCTGAGAGGAATTCTTATTTTTTACTTACCTGTATTGCTGGTAGAACTCCATTTGTCAGAGCACAACAAAATACTTGAAATGCTAAAAGTGTCACAAAGCGTCTTTTATTTAGTACACGAGATTTTACAAGTGATGCTCTTGTTTGAGTTTCAGATGAAATACTTTGTTCAGATGACTGACTGTCGAAATTCTCATCACAGTTTTTCTTGAAAATAATTGGTACAATTGTGGTTGACATCACTTTCTCTTCTTTAATTTGAGGTAGAAGATGAAGGAAGATAAAAGATAATCCACTCATTATCATCAAGAAAGTTAAAATTCCAAAAAAAGTTTCAGCAGAAAACAGAGGTGGATCAGAATATTGTATCCATTTTGTTGTGTTTGTATTATTGACTAATTTGCATTTTGCATTTCCTCCTACACCTTGGATTAATGCCACTATTCCTGGTAAAAGACCACTCATGCCTTCACCAATTAAGTAAGATAAAAGATATTTTTCTTTATAGTGTGCCATAAAAGGTAGATATAGAACAGAAGAAGTACAGTCCACAAATGCCAAAAGAAATGCCAATGAGAGAAGTGCAGTACTATGGAGATTTCCAAAAACAACAGATGTTTTTGACCAAAGAAAAGTAAGCAGAAAACATGAAGTGATTCCAATTGATAATGTAAAATAAATCACTGGTATTTCCAATTTCTGTCGGAAAAAGTTGTGTGTAAATAATTAGTGGTATGTTTGTAGTAAATAAAGATACTTACCCTGGAAGACCATTTTCTACATGCCAAAGTGTAAATTATTGGTCCTAAATTAGCTATCTGGGTGATGACTACGATATAAGAGGCTAGTGACCACCCTTCGGGCAATACTTGGAGCAGAACAGGTAATTCTACCCATAAACCATTAATTTCCATCCAAGAACTGAGTCCAAAAAAGACTGCTAGGATATCTATGAGTATTATTCTTCCACCAAACTCAGTCATGCTGGAAATTGAAAGGCTAGAAAGAGAACAACAATTTCACAAGTTAATTTCATAATATAGTCTATTGCTTAGTTACGAAAATAAATTAATACTGAATAATTTATATTTTCTGCTCTCTACATGTAGTTTTAAGATTTATGTTTAGTTGTGTAGTTTTAAACGAGAAAACAAATTTCAAATATAATGACATAAATAAGCTTACCTTCCATATTTAATGTCAGCCATTGCTGTTCAAATTTTGTATAATTGATTTTAGTCTATAAGTTCATTGAACTTTTGAAAGTAGATAAAAATTGAAATTTTAATTTTAATCATACTTGTGATAATCAGTTTAATCGATATTTTCACTAACACTTCTGTGAATTATAATAGGAAAACAAAACAAGTTTTTAAAATCAAGTTTATACTCTGCATAACAGCGAGTCTCGTTATAAATTTTTAAAACCTACGTATGTCTTTATTATATATACACAATGATGATTCAAAGTATGATCTTTTGGACTTGCTGCATTATCAGCTTTATCTTTTTAATTATCATTAGATAAATAGTTACATAACTTTTTTGGACATACAAAAATTATATACCACTAATAAAATTTTTGATTTGATTTAATTAGATTTGATATTGCAAAATTTCATTTTGCCATGAAATCTTATGAAAATATGACGATAAACTGTGCATTTTAGTTTAGTTTAGAGAGAATTTACAGATTTTACTTTAAAGTGGCTCTTCAAGTTCCGAAATACTATGGGAGACGACCGGAAGTACGAGCGATGAGATTAAGGTAGGAGTCTATCGCTCTGGGGGACCCGGAATCTAACTCGGACGGATCGAAAAACCTAGGAATTTTTTAGGGGTGGTCTGTCCTTCATTACCCGACCGCCCCATTGTGGGCTTGGTCGAAACCATAGTGGACTTTCTAAAAAATAAGAGGCTCTTTTATTGCTCACAGGGCGGTGAGATTTTTTAAAAAGATATAGGTTACTGTGGACACATTGGCTGGTAAAGCGCTTTAATGCAGCTGGATAAGCAAACCAATGGCAGTCAGTTTCATTTGAAACGAATTATTGGATTATTATTGAAATTTTGGTAAACTTGCACGCAGCACACACATTAGATAGATAGCTTAGATTAAATAGTATTTTTCCATTAAAAACGAAATATTGTCAATAACTGTTCTTATCCTTCCGATGCTAAATCATTTCGTTGTGGCATGACAAGCAAAAGTCAGTTAACGTCTATAACTTCCGCTGTATTAAAATAAAATCTCAGTTTATTCAAGATAAATACTGAATATGTACTAATGGACTCTGTACAATTTTATCATTCGATTTATTTAGTGAGAGTTAAACAATTAAAATCAGTTGTCACCGATAAGAGCTATTTCAAAACTTAATAACAAATATTGAAATTCCTGTATATCTGTGAGATTTAATGTCATTTGTCAAATATTCATGTTTACTTTTCCGAAAAACGTGCGTACACAAAACTTGAAAAAAAAAATCTCGATGTGCAAAACAATAAAAATGAGTGTGTGTTGCCGTGCAAACTTATCCTTTGCGTTTGTTTAGTAGTAATCGTGCGAGTATATTTTTTTTAACTTTAGGAATTTGTGTAATTGCAAATACTGAAGTTCATTATTATGTAACAGTCATGTTTGCAATGAGGTGCTCAATCTTGTTTCTTAGGTAAAGAACGGTCCACCAATGACCGAGTGTATAAAACCACTCTAATATTGGTCGTGGGTTTCCCACAAAGGCCTCCCGGGAGGCATTCCCCTCGGCAGATCGTCTACGTGGCGTGTTGCCGAAACCAAACCAAGTGAAGAATCGTTAAGGCCGGCTCGTACTTCGCGAGAATGGAAAGAGAAGAGAACGTGTGTTCAGTTATTATTTTCTCATAAGCATTCGTACTTCAAAAAAAATGAAAGAGAAACGTGCATGCGTTTTCGGTGCCTGCAGTTAAAAATTCGGCGCCTATCGGGTACTGTTTCAAAGCATGCTTTTGGTTGTAATTGGGTCGTAAAAATGTTTAAAAAAAAACGAGGATATATGCGTTTAATTTGAGAAGAGAACTGAGAATATTATCTTAAATTAAGGAAGATAGTCTTAGTGTATTTTTGACATTTTATGTATGTAAAGATATATATATATATACACAGTAATACCCCGAACTTACGCGATAGGTGGGATCGAGCGGTAACCGCGTAAGTCGGGGTATAATTTCCCATATAAATACATACAAATAATTTTTAATTGGGGCCGGAGACTAAAAAAAACAATAATTTAGAAAAAAGTGTTTAATAAAATCTTAGATAATACATATGTATAACAAATTAGGCCTATATTATTTTACAATTTTTCACATTTACTGGATTATTACGCCATAATTTTAACATTGTTTCCATCTCAGCGATAATACTGTGACGTTTACGAATGATGCTTGAATTTAAAGATTGAGCATTTTTCACA